TTTTAAAGGAATTATTAACAAGTTCAGTAAAAGAAAAATACCCCATATTACACATAAGCATTTTAATGTAGTTAAAAGTAGAAAAGATAGAATTAGATTACCTAACTTTCTAAAAGTTAATAAAAATAACAACTTAAAATCCAAAAATATTTTCGACTATGACTCAGATGTATTAGAGAAATATTTCATATTATATAAAACGAACAGAGTAATAAATTTAACCAAAAAACAGATTCCAAACAATATTATTAATCTATTATCATTGGGTGATAATTTCAGTTTTCTTACATTTGGTTTCAAGAAATCGTTCCATAAAGATATAATTCATCTCATTGCAGACGTTGAAAAGATTTTTACCACCATCAATACAGTGGAAAATCACATAAATGTTACAAGAAATAAAATTGTCAACGAAATTACCAATTTCTTATATAAGCAAAAGAATTTACATTGCCAATCAAATTTGCAGGCACAAATTTGCAGGGACATTATAATTTAAAAAAAATTCCTATTAAATAATAAAGACTTGATAGTTATTAAAGTAGATAAGACTAAACAATTGGTTATCCTGAATAAACAGTCGTATAACGAAAGAATTGCTAATTTGCTGAATGATAATAAAACGTATAGAACGAATAGGTCAGATCCAGGACCTCCGTTAGTTGATAAAATTAACGATTACCTAAGAAAACTTGAAAAAATGAATTGCATAGATAAACCCCTGAAATTAAAATTAGCACCAACACATTTCATAACACCAAGAATTCATGGACTAATTAAAATTCATAAACAAGACAAACCATTGAGACCAATTGTTAATAATATTAATGGACCCACATACGCATTATCAAAATTTCTCAATAGTTCTTTGAATAACCTAAACTCAATGAATGATTACGACATCAAAAATTCATTAGAGTTAAAAGAAAAGTTAAAATCATTACATCTGGATAATCACATTAAATATGATATTGTAAGCTTTGATGTACAGTCCTTATTCACAAACATACCTTTACAAAAAATGATAGAATTAGTAGAAACAAACTGGGAACATATAGAAGATCACACTGTAATTAAAAATAAAAAATTGTTTATTGAAGGAATTAAACTTTGCACGTTTAATAGCTATTTCAAACAGGATAATAACTATTACAGACAAATTTACGGTCTTCCAATGGGGTCCAGTTTGAGCGTGAATTTGAGTGGTATAGTGTTGAACGATTTAATAACAACACAATTAAAAACAACCAAAATAAAACCGATACTAATTGCTAAGTAGTTGTGAAGTTCGTAATTCGACCGCTAGGGGGCGTAACTGCCATTGAGAAACATAAAGTTCCCGCTATCTCAGAAACTTAGACGATGAGCTATAACTTTGACAAGATCATTTAATAGCTTGGATAATACCGCATCGCTTTTGTTTTGCGATATTTCTCATATCTGTCATAATAAGGGAGGGGGAGGCCAATGCATTTTCATATGTTTACATTTTAATATCTCCTAGACCATTGAAACGATTCGAATGTTTTCGGTGTTGTTTGAAAGAGCATTTTATACTCTTTTTAAAGATATTTTCAGTAAGACCGTCTGCTTTAAAACAAATGAGCTAGAGGACGTTATCTGCAGCGATTACATATTTTTGTGATTTTTGAAGAAAAGTTAAATGGAACGATACTATTTACTTCACAGACCCTTAGTCACCTTAAAATTTGCTAAATTTTAGTGAAAACCGCATCTCGATATCGCCACCCGTTCTCGAGTTATAGAAGAAAATGTTAAAAACTCGAGTGCCATCAATCGGATCCAGTTACCTCATCGAGAAAAACAAATCACATTATCATGGTAACTGTAAACATGTCATTTACTAACGCAGAAGCGTATGATAGAGCGTATGATGATTTATTTTCAATGTTTCGAATACGATGCAAC